AACTATTTTGGCATGTAGAAAAATACAGAGTTATTTCACATTTACATTTTACATCCCAGCTCAAAGTTCATTGTGTCATTCCGATTCAGAACTGGGAACAAAATGCTTAAGGAAGGGGAATTAAAAAAGATGAAAGAAAGACCATGCCCACAATTTGCTCAGTATTTGCTATTCCAATCTGATTTCCTTTACCTTTGAACTCAACAGAAATTTTCCAGTGCAGGTTCTGAAGGTGACGGTGGAGTTTGTGACTATTACAAGCTTTGAATTTCTCCTCAGGGCACAGCGGACAAGGCTTCTTTTCGTCTGCAAACACAATAAAGACAGCAGGAGAAACACAAACTTTAGGTGTCACTCACAGTGGCTAAGATGCAGGCCAAGAGAGAAAAGCACAAAGGGGATATCAGTGGGAGTTAAAGATGAATTCTCCAGGGGACATTCTATTTCAGGCCCACAGAAAGTTCAAATTCAGGGATTTAGTCTTCCCACTCCATGGAACACAGGCAAGAACCACTGTCACCTCAAAGACAATTAACTTCTACGACCTTTAGCTTTTGTTTTCTAGTATCTGTCGCTCCAGCTACATGAGCTTTAATGCAACTTCTGCAGAGTACTGAGGAACAATAGAATTTTATGGATGACATGCAGAGACTTGAAAAGAACCCCAAACAAATTAGGAGGTTAGAACAAGACTCTGTCTTTCCAACTCCTGAATCTGTTGGAGAAAGCAAGCATCTGCCATCTTTTGAAGCTGCAAAAAAAAGATAATGTACACTATATAATATCATTTTTCCTTGGAAATCCTGCAGGCAGAATTTAGCAGAAAAGCAAGGGAATAAATCATAAAGCTCTTTTTTTATAAAACCCCTGGTCTTCAAGCGTTATAAATACATGAAGTGTGTTAAAAGTAAAGACTAAGGGAAAATGGAAAGCCCTGTAACAGGAAGATGTGTGTTCTGGGACACTGCCTTGGTGAACTCACCTTCTCTCAGGTCAGCCAGTTTCTCCAGATCGGCCAGGTGTCTTTGAATTGAAATATGTTTGTCTAAAAAGCAGAAATATTTAGAAGTTAAACACTCTCGGTTTAAAAATTATTTTCAGTTTACTTCTACTTTTCTGTGCATCATTTCAAACCTAACACTGTCAGGAAATGATTGTAGTACCAACTGGAATCCTTACTTGTATCCTTTCCCTTCCATGGCAGCAGGAATGACTGCAAAAATTAATCCCCAGAAAGCCTATTTAATAAGATCTGTATATTTTCATATATCTCTACTTCTTTTTAATACTGACACACATCAAACTTTTAAAATTGGAAATGTGAAAAAAACAAGCTAAAAAGATCAAGTCACATTCCATCTACTGCTGGTTTTAATGCAAATCATGCCCAAAGCAGTACAAAAACATCCTATGAACTGTCTGGCAAAATTAAAATATCAGTCAAAAGTGGACCAATTTTAACAAACATTATTCACTGTAGAGCCAGAATACATTAAATTCTATCACTTTTTTTTCCTTTTTCTTGGGAAACTGTTCAACCTTTAAATCTACCAGCTGATTTTCCAACTTATCAGTCTAGTGAAGAATTTATTAAAAAGAAGAGAATTAGCTTATCCAATAAATCTGCTTTATTGGTTCCAGCACACAGACCATCCCACTTCAGAGTGACACTGATTTTATAGTGACTTCAACTGTCACAGCGTTATTTACAAGATCAATCTTCAGGTTTTCTTAGGAGAGACAAAGTGATTGATCCGTGTGCTCGGGATGCACGGGTGAGTTTTAAAGTTCCAAGATGAGATTTCACACGCTCCCCTCACCTTTCTCCCTATTTCTCTACCTCAAGCACAGAACACAACTATTAAGAGTTTAAGAGCAAACCTCGTGGATAATCAGATGATACATCCAAAATGTTGCCATCTGATTCCCTTGTAGGTTCTTCCTCCGTTCCTTTTTCTTCTGTTTCCAATTCTGACTCGTTGTTGCTTTTCTGTTTGTCAGAGTCAGCCACACCATCTTAAAATCAAAAACACCCATGGAAGTGTCAGCGTAACTGAACGATACAAACCTGTTCATCTGTTTCCTATAATCTGATGCTGACTAAAAGTGTGAAGGAGGAAAAAACATTACCAAACAATATGTTGGGGAATGAGATTAATTATCACTCCAATTATCCTTGAAACCCCAGTGGAATAATGCCATCCTGGACAGCCTGAAACTATTCAACTCACCATCTGTATTATCAGATGTTTAAGGTGAACAAAATAATATTTACCATTTTCTGGAAGATAGCAAAGGAAAGCAAGCAAGGAGGAGGTCCAAATTCTCCTAACAATATACAACCGTCTGGGAAAGTCTGATAACTGTTTGAATCACAAACAATTCTAAACTACTGTTACCAGGCTTGTTTGTGATTCAAACAATCACGGAAAAAAGGAGGGAGTAAGGAAGGATTTTGCTATTATGGGGGTTACGTGCTGATGCCATCAGCACTGGCAAATGAACGACCTCCTGGGGCAGCCAGGGATGGGCCTGATGAGGAATTTCAAGGACTGAAGGGGCTGAGTGATGGCACAATAAAATGACAAAAACCAGCCAGGTCCCTGGGTCAAACTTGGGGGAAATAACTGAAGGAAGAGGCAGAAATCCTCAGAAGCTGTGGGTCCCACTCCCCACCAAGGGGCATCAGGAGGCACTACGGAAGGATTCAGAAAGCCACTCATGTGGAACGATCCCACGAGCTTCCGAGGGACACGTGGGACTAAGAAAGTTGCCAACAAGAAACAAGGCCACGGCCTGGCTTTGCAGCCACTGCGGAGCAGCAGAACAGGCTAAGGCTCCTCAGCCGGGGGGCACACAGGTCTGTAAGATGGCAGCACGCAGAGAGCACAGGAGTCAGCCACTGGCTGCCTCTCCCAGTATGCAGAGAGCACAGGAGTCAGCCACTGGGTGCCTCTCCCAATATGCAGAGAGCACAGGAGTCAGCCACTGGCTGCCTCTCCCAATATGCAGAGAGCACAGGAGTCAGCCACTGGCTGCCTCTCCCAATATGCAGAGAGCACAGGAGTCAGCCACTGGCTGCCTCTCCCAGCATGCAGAGAGCACAGGAGTCAGCCACTGGCTGCCTCTCCCAGCACAACGGCTGGCATGCACCGCACGGAGTTACAAACCAGTTTGTGTTTGAGGTTATTCCCTGAGGATCCATGGTTGGTTGTGCTCTGGATGGGGCTTGGAGCAGCCTGGTCTAGTGGAAGGTGTCCCTGCCCATGGAAGGGGGTGGGAGACTGGGGGATCCTTAAGGTCCCTTCCAACCCAAACCATTCCAGGATTCCACGATTTTACTAGTCTTCCCCAGCTGGAAGGATCTCACAGCAGTTCTTCAAATTCCCTTAGGGGCCTTCTGTTTGTTTTCTTTTAAACACAGCAGTTGGGTAAAAATATTTGTTATCACAAAAACAAAGCAAAAAGAGGAAATGGGATACCTCAAGGCAGGGGCTCGAGGAATTGTTTTAAAAGACAGAAGCAAAAGAAAAATTATTCTACCTATCTTGAAATGTATGAGGACCGCACTGCTACTCAAGAGAGAATTGCTGTGTTCCTCACAGACCGGTTTTCAAACTGACAACTCACCCAAGACAGAACTCTATTACCTGCCTATTAAAAGTTGTACGATTCCTGGTGATGGTTTCTACGCCATTTATTAATAGAAAGGCAGAAAGAAAATGAATAAGTAAAAGGATTTTTGGTAAGAAATCCGTTACAGTTATCCATTATGACTATGTGTGCTGTAAGAAAATTTGAAAGAGTTATAAAAATGCAGAATAAGAGCACAGCAGTGACAAAAGTCCACCACACCTGCAGCGTCTGCATCTTCAGAGCACGTGCAGAGGTTAAAATAATTGAAAAGGAGAGTACGTGTATGTATATAAATGTAATTAGTATGTCAATGCACATGGAGAGAGGTAAACTTTCACAACGAATGCTGAAGAAAAGCAGGCTGCTACCGAAGCAAGACTGCAGGATTTTTTTTAAGTGCTTATGAGGAATCACTGACTACGCACAAACAGAATAGCGCTTCAGACAGACTAAATTATACTTAAACGGCAAAAAAATCAGAGGAGGCGGTTCACTCGAACCGTAAGGCTGGCTACAGCAGGCAGGGACTGGAAACCCGGCACAAGCAGTTTACAGCATCCCAGAAGGGGCCAGGTCGGAAGGGACCGCAGTTCCACCCCCCTGCTCCGGCACGGCCGTCCCAGAGCACGTGGCACAGACTCGTCTGGGCTTACAATCCTGCGGGGAAAGGTGCGGGGCTGAGCCCCCCTCACCGCGGGCTGCCCACGGGCCCTCAGAGAACATCAGGGGCAAAACGCCGCTGGGTTCGGGGGCAAAGGAGGGACACGAGCGCGGCGTCGCGGGCTCAGAGCGGCCCGAGGCCCGGCGGGAACAGGTCGGGAAAGCCGGGAGCCTCCAGCTCCCAGCGCTCCACAGCGAGGGCGGAGGGAGCCGGGAGGCGGCCCCGGGGTGGAAATTCAAACGCGCCCGGGATGGAAATTCAAACGCGCCCAGGGCTCCTCATGGCGCCCGCCCGCCCTCAGCCCCCGGCCGGCGGGCCCGGCTCCCCCCGCCCTCCCTCAGCCCCCTCCCGGCCCTCACTGAGCGCCGCCGTGTCGCCGCTGCCTCCATGGTTATGGTTATGGTTCTGGTTCTCGTTATGGTTCTCGTTCTTCTCTTTCTCCTCCTTCTCCTCCTCGTCCCCCTGCCGCCGCTGCAGCGCGGCCTCGGCCGCCTCAGCCGCCTCAGCCGCCTCGGCCGCTGCCATGTTCGGCGCGCGGAGCCCGCGCGGCGCTCCCACACGGGCGGAGCGGCGCTGCCGGGCACACGGCCGGGCCCGCTCCGCCTACACTTCCCAGACACGCTCCGGGCCGGCCCGGCGCGCACCGCGGCGGGAGGAGGAGCGGCGGCGGAGCTCTGTGGGGGACCCGCGCCGGGCGGGACGGGGGTGGTTGGGGCAGGGACGGACCCGAGCCGGCACAACTTCCACCCCACCGGCCACACGGAGCCGCCGCGGGAGGAGCGTCCGAGCCGGGTGAGGCGGCGCCGTACGGGTGTCCTGTGGGGAGGGACGAGGAAGGGAAGGGGAAAGGGACGGGAGACGGGAAGGGAGGGTGTGCTGTCAGTGCCTGAGGTGCCGTGAGGGCCCCCGGGCTCAGCCCCACGCGGGGAGCGAGGCTGGAGCTGCCGCCCCTCAGCCTCCCGGACCGGCTCCCTCAGAGCCCTGTGCCTGCCCCCCCTCAGGGCGGGCCCGCTCCCCGGGCTCCCCGCCGGGCTTTGGGGTCTGGGAATCGCCTTTTTCAGCCCTCGGGAACCCCCGGTTCGAGTGCCCTGGTTTGTGTAGAGGGTGGCGTGGCCGTCGTGAGGTGTCACGACAGCACCTCCGCCCCGGGGGAGGGAAAGAAGGCGAGAGTTGTGAGAGTTACACGATCGGAACTGCCTCGCAGAATCGGTTGGGTTGGAAGAGACCATGGAGTGCACCCTGTGCCCGATCCCCTCCTTGTCAGAAGGAGCGCAGAGCACCGAGTGCCACGGCCGGGCTTCCCTGAACACCTCCGGGCACGGGGACCGGAGCCCCTGCACGCAGCCCTGCCGGTGGCTGATGGGCGTAAAACTTGGTGATACGACTGAAGGTTAAAGGATGTTTGTCTCTGTTTGTTTGCTGGTACAAAACGGGTGTCTCTGGAGCAGCTGGAGAGTTAATTACCATCCTTTGCTGCTCTGAAGTTCCCTTAGATGTGAATGATTAACCCTGTCGCGATCTGCCGTGGCTCTGTCATGAGAAAACAAAAGATGGGTATTTGAGTATTTTTTTCTCTGTGCAGTTAACATTTATTTTTATACTAGCTGGAACTAAGAACTTGACACAAATAATAATGGCAGCACTCTCTTTTCTTAGGATTTGAAGATGTCTAGAAAGAAACCGAAGAAATTAACTGGAAAAGAAGACTGTTTGGATGGCCAGGATGACAATGTAGGAACCAAAATATTATTACTGTTATTATCTTAATTTGATCCCCTGTGTTCAGGAGAAAAACATGAATTGTTTAGTAGCCTTATGATAGAAGGATGAATCCAATTTAAATATAAGGTCATAAAGAACAGCAGGAGGGTTGAGTTGGTCAGATAACTTATATTTGTGTTTATGTATATAACTTATGTTTATGTAGCTTATGTTTTTCACCAGGGCTGTGAGTAGTGTAGTCATCAGAAAACAAGAGGCTTTTTTATTTTAGTGTATCTTCCTGGCTGAGGAAAGTTGAGCTTAGAACTGTTACCAAAAGCATTGCTGTTTGCTGGGGTTGTTCTGTATCTGGGATCATACGCTTTTATTTTCTGATGAACCACAAGTTGTACTTTTTGCAGCATTTTGATGAGTGACTCTCAGGTATTTCCTTCTAAGCACTGCCACATAAATTAATGACCCAAATATTTGTACCTGTTTTTTTTTTTCTCCTGAACTCCTTGTGATTATTCAATTTGGTTTTTAACATTAATTTATTCTAAGGTGTTTTGTTGTGTTTTTTTTTTACTTCTGTAGTACAAAGGGTAAACACCTGGCTCAAAACCTCCTACTGTAGCTTATTGCCGTTGCTGATGTCTCTACCAACTGGAAGAATACAGTTCTAAGTGTTGCCTGATTTCAATTAGAGGCAGCATTAAATATTAAATCATTAAATATTGCTTTATGCTGACATTGGCCAGCACAAGCAACAGTGAGAAGCCAAACTATTTAACAGCAAAAGGATGAGAAACCTCTAGTAGTGCACACTTTCTTATGAAAGTGTGTTTTATTTTATCTGCAGTTCCCTCTATAAGCCCATGAATCTTTTTTTCTTTCAGACTACTGAAGACACAAGATCTTATAAGCACACTATGAAAGGAGAGACAGAACTCCAGAGGTAAATTCTTGCCTCCATGTTCCTGTTCCATTAAATGGAATTACTTAAAAATGTAACAATCACAGACTTTTTTAATGCTGAATTGAAGAATTTTTCAACCTTTCATTAAATAAAACACAGTATTTTAACTGGTCTTTGGATATTTTAAATCTAGTGTAAAGTAAATAATAATTACTGAGTATTTTCTCTGCTCTTAGGAAAACTGAGTAGGAAACCTTCTTCTATCATTCATGATTTCTGTAGAATGTTACTGTATTCCCATCACTTGTTCCTTTTCCAAGTTCTCCAGTCAGTGCAGGACAAACAGTTTGAAAGCTGTGTGGGTTTTGACTCTGTGAGCAAGCTGACCTTTCAGGGTGACACACCTCCTTTATCGTTAAACTGCTGTTAAAACTTACCTGTGTGATCAGAAGAAACTCAACTCTGTAGGGTGTCCCTCAAACTGACAGATGCCGAATGCAGAAAAAGCTTTTTCTTCATTGTTTGGAAGCTGGAATAACTTTACAGTGGAGAAACGTAAAGCCAAAAAATGCTGCATCAAACTATTTGAAAGGACAGATGATGCTGCAAGTTCACATTTAAGAGCAGACCAGACTGGTGGTCATAAATACTTAGCTCTAACTGCCTAAATCAAATGTAGGTGCTTTTTTTGTTGCTCTTTTGCATTAACTGAGCTACATTACATTGCTTTTGTTGTGATGTTTCTGTAGATCCAAACCAGAGAAAGATGGGCAAGAAGAAGAAGCGACACCAAAGCTCTACTGTTTCTCATGATGCTGATGAAAGATCCCAAGGAAAATCTCCAAATAGAAGCAAAACTCTGGACAATTCTTCAGTTCAACCTGAAAAGCAAAAGAAAATAGTTATCCAGTTTAAACCCAAAGAAATTAAACACGGAAAAATCAGCCGCACTCCCGACGCAGTGACTGCGAGCAAGGAACGGAGCCGCTCCGAGGGAACAGAGAAAAGGCTCTGGTACACCTTTGAACTTCAGAGGGAGAAGGCCCTGAGGAAGAAGAGAGAGAAAGCTGAACTCTGCAAGCTCAAGGTAAAAGCAGAACAAGCCATGATAGAGAAGTTTAAGTCGTCGGTGTCCGACGTGCCACATAAAAAGGCAGACAGCTCAAAAAAGCGGAGTGAGGATGGCAGAATTCCAAAGAAGCCACCCAGCACCTCTGTGGGGACAGAGTGCGGTGGCAGACCCGTCACTAAGGAGTCACATGTACTATCTGGCCTTTGGGAAGAGGAGGAGGAAGAAGAATATAAGGAGTTTCCTGTGAAAAAGAGGCACATGAGTAAACACAGATCGACAGACTCTTCAGCCGAGACACCTCCACGGTGGGACTCCCGTAAGTGGAAAAAGCATGTTGCTGGTTCTCCTCCTGAACCTTCTGGATGCTCAGGGACTGAAGAGAGGGACTTTGAAGCCACACAAGTGTGTTTTAAGCAGGTAACGAGAACCCAGTTGTTTGTATTCTGCAGGTAGATGTTTGGGGCTGGTTCCTGAGTGGCAGAGCTTTACATAATCAGACTGGCTCCCTCCAGAATTCAGCCAGGTTTCATGGCTTAACTAGGTGGATTTTTGTGATCCCAGTGCAAACCCTGATAACATGTTCCTCTGCTAAATGGTTAAACAGAGCAGAAGAGTAAAGGTCTTGCATATTTGGGCCGTGTCTGCAGACGCTTTCACAGCTTTGCTCTGCTGCTGAGGCTGTGGAATACTTCCATTAGGTATAAATCAACAAGAGTTTTTCTCTGAGTTGACATGGTTGTATCATTTTTTAAGTGAATGGACTTGAAGCAATGAAAACTTGCTGCCAGACTCACTGGCAGAGTGATGCCAGGAGAGCTTGGAGTGGCTCTTGGGTTAAATTGGTACTTTTGCTGCAGAACTTCCCGTTTGGCTGTGAGGGGTTCGTTTGTGAGTTCAGGCCGAGGTGCAGAGCCAAACACTAGCTAGATCTTGAGCATGGGGTGACTCTCTTTGTTGTTGCTCTTGTGTAGCATGCCCAGAATTTTTGGGGCTTTCAGTTAATGCTACGGTAGCGTGGGCCTTTTGTGTGTATGCAGAGGTAGTAATTACCTGCAAAATCCTGGGATCACTGAAGTTGGAGGGCCCCTCTGGAGATCATCAAGTCCAGCCCCTGTGCTCAAGCAGGGTCAGCCAGAGCAGGTTGTGCAGGACAAAGGATGGAGGCTCCACAACCTCTCTGGGCAGCTTTTTCGAGCACCTTCAACCCCCCAGAAGTGGGGGTTTAATGTTCAGGTGGAAGTTGCTTTGTAATCCACTGTTATTTTTTTCAAAAGAGAGCTCTACTGAAATGGTACTGTAGATGCTAAAAACCATAGAATTTATGTTCCCTTTTCAATTCACTTGGGAATATTCAATGTCCTTTAAAAAGGACTGTAAAAGTCTGATACTTGTTCTACTTTTATTCCTACTTGTTTCTAGGATTTGGAGGGGCCGTGCTCGTCTGAGTCCTACCAGGAAGGTGAGGTCAGAAAGCCTGTGTCTGTCCAAAAGGTGAGTGATGGACTTGTTTAACACTGCACAGCTCTGTCCTGGAACTCCTGACATGGGGGTCACTTGCTCCTCAGTCTTCCTTGATGTTTTATGGTGTTGTGAGGGTCTTTTTAATCCTTCCTGCAGAACTTTGAAGACTTTCCAGCCCTTCAAGACACTCGGAGCCCAGAAACAGACCATGAGGTTGGTAATGCTTTCCTTTGACACTTCTGAGTTGTATTAAAAAGCAGAGGCACTGAAGTTGTGCTGGACAATCCCAGGACCTTTCCTGGTATTTGGCATTGTTGGCTTATGATCTGCCTTTCAAAAATCTGGAGTATTTATTTCAGATGCTAAACAAACTTGCTGAAGTGCTGCTAATCAGGAACTTTCTGAGATAAAGGTTGTCTTTCTGTTATCTGCAAGGGGCCCTCATAGTTGCTCACATATTCCAGCTGTCTCATTTTCCATCCTCTAACTTTTTAGCTGGGAGAAGGACTGTTTTTAATAAGTGCCTGTGAGGAAACTTGCAGTTTATGTAGCAAAAAATGGAACAGAGTTTTTGGGTACCAGCTAGAAAGGCCATAAATCTTCTTTCCAGGACATATTTTCGATGCCTCCAGTGGAGCATGTGCAGAAGTTCTCATGGTTTTACATCTCTTGTAACAACTTAATGTTTTTCATACATCATTTTGAGCCTGTTTTAACAGCATTAACGCAAAAGGATCTTTTTGGGGGACAATTATGAAGTGCTTCCTTCCAGTGGATTGCATCCAAGGCCATTTTTTCCCTGTAGATGCAGATAGTTGAAGACTTGCACGTTGCCCGTGTGGAGAAGAGGATGGCACTGTCTGTAGTACAGGCTTGTGGAGAACTTACAAGCATGGACATTGATCTTCCAGAGCAGGATTTAAATATTTCTGCTGGTATGTCACGGTGCTCTTTGCTCTCTACTTGCAGCTAGTAGTTGCAGTTGGCTGATGGTCTGAGTAGGCAGTACACAACTGATTATTTCACTGCTGCTTTGGTTTCTCTTTTTTCTCTTCTTTTCCCCCAGAGGCTTTTACTTCTGGTCTGAACATACTGGTGGTGATTGACACGAACATCATGATTAGTCACCTTGAGTTTGTCAGATCCCTGAAGTCTGAGGATATACCAGGTATGTGAATCCATTGCAAGGAAGAACGGATGTTGTAAGAACTTGGAGGAAAGCAAAGCTGGGCTCCTGGAGAGGGCAGCAGGTTTGGTGCAACGGCAGAAGGCTGGTCCTGGGAGCCCAGACAAGCGGCCCCTCAGGGGACATCCAGCCATGGAAGCAGATCCTACTGTGCTTATCCTTCCCTACCTGCACAGAGTCATGGCAGACATTCCCAGGAATGTGCTTGGATTCTTGGAGCTAAATAAATCTTACCCTATCAAAGAACATAATTGAAACATTTAATCCATTACCAGTGATAATTGTGTTTTCTACTCTCCTTTTACCATTTCTTTTTCTAGAAATCTAAGAACATTTAAAATCTTGTAAGCAGTGAGTCAGTGCTGTGTTGCTGTTTGGTAAAGGTCACAGAACTGAGCAGTTTCTCAGGAATCCAGGATGCAGATCCTGGCTTTCACATTTGGCTCTAATATATTGGGAAACTTTTGGTAATTTAATGTTAGCAAGGTTAGGGTTGTGCATGTCAGTTCTTGGCAGGTATATTTGGAATCCAGCAGAATGCTTAGGGCGCTTTGATTCAGCTCATGAATACACTCGTTCCAGCCACCTGGAAAGTGGCTTTAATCATAACTTTACTCCTGAGTAGTTTTCAGGAGAGTGTCAGACTGTATTTCACTTCCCATTTTGGGAATGGCATTGCCTTGTACGCTGGGATGCCTTTTTAGAACATTGCAGCTCCCAGTTTCTGGTCCTGCACCAGAACCACCACGTTGAGAAGGTCACAGATTCCTGACCTATTTATTACAAAGCAGATGGTTATCAATTGTGTTTTTTCAAAATTGCATCTCATAATGTGAATGAGAAAGAAAACAGTTGAAGTGTTTGTTGTGAGTGGACCAAGTTCAGGCCATACTTACACACCAATAAATCCCTGGTGCAATATCCATACTCCTCTTCCTGGCTTAAGAATGCTGGTTGGCAACTGGAGCAGGCCATGGCTCCTTGTTGGGATGCTTGTTTTGGCTCAGTGACTGCTGTGGTCATCCTGGTGTTTGCAGCTTGTTATTTCAGCTGCTGTGTCATCTTACAGCAAGTGTGTGACAAGGTAATTGCTGCAAATATATTTTATAACGTTGCCACACACTGTTGTCAGAGTGTTGCGTTGATTAAAATCATGTCTTCCTTTTGTTTGCCTAATACTGTCGTTTTTCCATGTAATCGGTGTAGTGCCAGTTTGAGGTTAGGTTAGAAAGAGGGAACGTGGCCTTTTCAGTTCTTTTTTAAATGCCAGATTCTCTTGAGCAAGGATTATGAAAGCTACTGGCAAAACGTGTGAACTTGCCTAGATACGATGTTTTTGAATGAAAAGTTCTCTGTAGTAGTTTGTGTGGCACTTCAAAATATCATCTTTTGATTGTGGTTTGTTTCTTTCCTTCCAGGTGTTGACAGACTTGCTTTAATAATTCCCTGGGTAGTCCTACAAGAGCTGGACAATTTGAAGAAGGGGAAGATGTTGCAGCATGTCCGGGACAAAGCGATCCCTGCAGTCCAGTTCATCTACAAGTGTCTCAAAAACCAGGATTCCAAGCTGTGGGGACAGTCCATGCAGCTGGCTTCCCAAAAAATATGTAATATATGTGCAATCACTTGATGTTTGGTACTTAATCCTTGGAGTTCACCCAGTGGGAACCTTGGCTCTGCACTTTGTGCCTAATGGAGTCTTCACCCTGCAGTTTGCTGATTACAATCAGCTAGTAGGTGACAGCAGCCTGCCGAGCACAGCCAGGGCTGGCCTGAGCAGATCCCCCGTTAGTGTTAGTGCTGTGTTCAGGGTTCTTCGGTCACGTCTTCCTCAGTGGCACTCACACTCCTGTGTCCTGGCTTGGGGGGTGTTACATTTACAAACAATCCCATGGCTGCACTGAACCGTTTCTTCCCCTGGCTTTGCAGATGGGCTGAGCGATGAGAACAATGACGACCGTGTCCTGCAGTGCTGCCTGCAGTACCAGAGCCTCTTCCCTCAGGCTGTTGTCATCCTCTGCACGTGAGTCCCTGCCTGGGTTAGGTCTGGTGCCAGATGCACTGTTGGCAAAAAGAAGAGCTGTTCTGCAGCAGAGCTCTTTGAAGGACAGTCTGTCTGAGAATAGAGGGATATCATAAGCCATGAAGATTGTAGATGTAGTCACCTTCATGGCAGGCCTGAAGCAGAATTAAGTTTACTCCATGTTCAATTTTAAAACTTGTTAAAGTATGGCTTTCTCAGATTTTAGCCTGGTTTCTCATATATATTACTGAAGTTACAAAACAGAAAAAATATTTGTACTAATGATTAAGATACTTTATCACTGTTCCCAGCCAGGTGGGCAGAAGCAAACAAGGGGTTAATCTTAGGGGAAGCTGGACATGGATTTGCTGCTGTTCCTGTTTTGTGAAGATAACAACTGACTTCTGAGTATTGGTTTTGATGTGATAGGAACAGATGAAGCTGTTTTTGAGGGCTGATGTTCCTTGGCTGTACTGTAACAACTTGCTCTGGTCTCTGCTAGAACCAGTTCCTGCCTAGTTCAGTAAGTGGGGTTAACCCACTGGGCACCAGTTAGTTTGTTTAAATTGGCAGGAGTGGCTGCTGAAAATACCATTTCAGTCGCAGTATTGGTGGTGATTTTGGGTTCCTTTGGGCAAGAAGAAGAAGTGGCTTCAGAAGTGCTTTTCATCCAAAAATCCCTTAATCCTCTCAATATAAGCAATGGGAATTTTTGAGAAAACATCAACATCCAACTTTGTCCTGCATCTTTGTAGTAGTTCTGCTGGAGCAGAACCTCAGGGCAGCTTCTGGGATAGTGATTTGGACCGTAGAACAGTAAAAAAGGGTCTCAAAAATGAGAATTAATTGTAACAATCAAATAAGATCACTGTCTTGTTGCCTTGTGTTGCTTTCTAAGATCACTGGAACCAGGCATCATTGCTGCAGTATTTAGAGCTGTTGTTTTCTTAAACCTAGAGCCTGAAACACTTGCCAGTATGTTTCTAATTTCTTTTCAGAATAGATGCTTTACTTAATTTTCTAGTTTAATTTTCTGATCTGCTTCTAATTGCTTGAGGAAAAAAAAATCATACCTAATGAAGTTCACAAAACCAGTTTTCCAGTTGCACTTTTTGCTCCGTGTGTTGCTTTTGTTGCTTTTATGTCAGCAGTGAATTCTCTCCCCTCCTAGAGATGATAAAAATCTGTGTAATAAAGCCATTGTGAGTGAGGTCAAGGCATTCTGCAAAGCTGATTTGGTCGCTGCTCTGCAGAACGTGCGTGTGAACAGGCCCCAGAGCTGTGCAGAACAGCAGCCCCGACGTGGTGAGTGGGGATGGAACGCTTCCTACACTGGCTGCATTCTCCTGTGCTTTGGATCCATAGGAATGCTTTTTGTTTGGGGCAGATCTGTTGTTTTGGAAGGTACATGGTTTTCTGAACATTTGAGACCTTTTTCAAAGCATCTGTCTCGGAGTTCTAGGAAACTCAAGTATGATGTATTTTTGTTTCGTAGAAAAAAACCACAGCACCAATTTCCTGTGTTTAGAGTCATTTAAAAATTGCCCTGAACCGTTCAGGACTGAAAGAGGTCTTTCATTTTTTCAAAGTTTGCAATATTAAGGAGTGATCATCTTAAACTTGGTGATAACCCCACTGGCTGTACATAATCTAAGATACTTAAGGGAAAAAGAAATGTGGAGTAATATCACAAGTGAGTAATGCCCCGGAGAAATGAATCTTTCTGCTTAGTAGCTCGTAATTAAAAATGCCCACAGTACAAGTGGATATAACTAGAAATGCTTGAAGCCTGTTCAGGTGTAGCTGCTTTATAAACATATATAAATAAATATAAAATGTATTATATTTATATAAATATAAAATGCAGTTTGTCTTTATTTATGGGGATGAGTTCTCTGCGTATTACCAATACAAATGAGATACAGAAACAGTTGCAATAAATACCTTCTGTATCATTGGTTTGGCAGATACAGCATTTGAGAAGACACGAGGAGGTGATGCTGGTTTTACTGCACAGTTCCCAAATGTGCTTCCACACCTTGAGAAGAACTTAGGAGAAGCTTTGTCTTGCATTTTGGAGACTGAGATGAAACTTGCATTTGGCAACCTGTGGATGGAGGTGGGTTTTTAAATCATCTTCCTTGATATTTCAAGACTTAAGAGGTTTGAATGTCCTTGATATTTTAGCGATATTAATACCTGTGCTAAGCCAAACACCTCAGTCATCCAGTTCACTGACTGTGGACAACTCAGGGTTCATTTCTAATATTTCATTTTATAACAAGGGTGTTCTATTTGACCAGTAATGACTGTGCAGTATTTTAACAGAATTTTAATGATGCAGTGGCAGAAATGCTGGCTGCTCAGTGTGAATTTTCAGAATTCTTTTTATTAGTTGCATTAAAATTCTATTTATTTCCAATTTTCGAGTCTGGGTAAATCACTGCATTGTAATTATGTCCTGCAAGAAGCCCTTCCATCACATTCTGTGAGATGCTGGGGCTCTTCCCACCAGAACAGATGTTTTGAGATACCTTGTGGATAAAATTGTTCACAGCTCAGTTGATTACAGGGCAGATACAGAATTACAGGGGTGTTCACGAGAACCTGCAAACGCTCTTTCGAAAGTATTTTAAACAGAAAACGTGCACAAGAACAAGGCACTTTAAATTGTCCATGCCTTAGTGTAGGTTCTGTTTCATAGCTGATGGGGGTGAGTTAGAAGTTTAAATTTCATGCAGATAATCCTGTGGCTTTAAAAAATCCCCAGAAATTCACGGGGTGACAGTTAAGCTTCTGGTCACTTCTGTTTGTCTCAGTTAATTTCTGTTGACATCTTTTCAAACTCTGGTTTCACTTGATACGAATGCATTTCATTTTTTTTCAATACACATATGTTACTTCATTTGTATATAGTCAACAATGTTTATTTCTATTTTTTAACAATACTAGAAAATCAAAGGCATGTTTACAGTTGTTCTGGCTTTTGTGCACAAGTAACATGTTTGAATCACTTTGAGATAACCCAGGAGTATTTGGGTTTTGTTTTTTGTGGAAAGAGGAACCAGAGATCGTGGGAGCGATTGTACATTGTTCGTGAGCATCACTGTTCAACCCATGCTGCTGAATCAAATCTCTATTTAATAGGTAAACTTGTTACAAGTGAATAAAACCTTATATTTGAGGAATCACTGAAATTCCACTTCAGCCATCACAAATCATGCATTATTGGAGAACAGAGAGAAGGGAGCAGTTGTGGAATGCACGGAAATAGGTGTAAGTAAAAACCAACCTTTGAATTTGTAACATATTCTCTTTCAGATCCTGTATCTGAAGCCACCGTGGACATTGGTAAACCTGCTGAAGTGTTACAAAAAACACTGGATGTCTGTTTTTGGTTATGTGGTGCCAAGGAGTTTACTTTCAACTGTTGAGTGTCTCTCTAAGCACCTTTGTACAGGTAAAAATCCCTGAGAATGTTAACTGTAAACTTGTAAAAAGCCTCACTGTTCTGGTTATAGTTACAGACTAGGTGTATTAATGGTCACCAAAGTCTTTGAACTATTCTGAAAAAGCAAATAATCCTTCTCCTTCCTTTACCCCCATGTTATGTGGGCAAATAATGTACAAATGCTCTGCATCTGCCAAAGAAATTACAGGGGAGCAAAGGACACTTGATGTGGTAGATGAGGACAGGGAGGTTTGTTTTCAAAAAGGCCAACAAAAAAGCCCCACAAACCTCTGACTTGTTTAAAGATGTCTTTAAGATTTGATTTTAACAGATATACCTGTTAAACTCACCCAGAGGGTGGTTGGCACTGCCCAGGCTCCCCAGGGCAGTGGGCACAGCCCCAAGGCTGCCAGAGCTCCAGGAGGGTTTGGACAACGCTCTGAGGGACAGGGGGGGATTGTTGGGGTGTCTGTGCAGGGCCAGGGGCTGGACTGGATGGTCCTTGTGGGTCCCTTCCAGCTCAGGACATTCTGGGATTCCATGGTTCTGCCTCTCGTGGGATATTTGAGTATTAAATTTGCCTGCCAGGATTGATGACTCCTAACAGGTTTTTTTTTTCCTCTTATATGGATGTCTAAATATCAGATAAACCGTTGGACTCCTCAACAGTGCGTGTCTTGCTCCAGGAATCCAAAAAACTCCTCCATGCTTTCAGCTCCAGGTCAGACTACAACGGTGTCCTGCCCCAGGCTTATGCTGCAGTGACTAAACTGTGTGACAGGCTGGGAGAGGTGAGAGGAGCTCCAGTGCTTGTTCACCTCATCTTCAGGTTGTTCCATGATCATAATTCAAACCTGGCTTAGGTTTCTTAATTATTCCCATAATGTCCCCTAAGTTTTGCAGGAAATGTTGTTGCTGGTGTCTTTTTAGAGTGAACAGACTCCAACTTTAACTTTGATTTTCATGTGGTGAATATCTGCCAGTATGTAGATGTTTGGGAGACTCCTTTTCCCCCCAGTCTCTGTGTTAGTATTGGGAGGGTGACTGAAAAACATTTTTTGTCTTAGTTTTCTGTTGCATTTGTAGCTGATGGGCCCTAAAGATTAAAATTGCTGTTTCTCCTTCTGAAGAAGGAATTCCACACTCTGAGTCCCACACTACTGCTCTTAGTCGTGTCATTTCAGCTTTCCCTGGTGCTACACATGAAGAAAGGAGTCCCCTGTGGTTTGTGGTGGTTACTGGGGGTTGTCCTGGCACTGACAAGTTTTGTCTTCACACCCAGCTTGTCTCTGAGCTGCTGTGGAAGGAATTGCAGTGTCCTGGTTTGTGGTTACTGTTAGTTGTGTACGTAGTGTCCTAAAAACTGGAGTAGTGAGCACTGATGGCTTGAAATATTTCTATGTGTGGGGTCAGCATAGCTGTACAGAGTTCTCTGTGGCTTTGGAGAGAGCTGAAAGGGAGAGGAAGGTCAAGGAGAAGAATGATCTGTGCTGTGACTTCAGCACGTGCTGCAGTCAGCCCATACCCTGCAGTTCTGTGCCATGAGAAACGGCCTCTGCCTGAAAACCTTGGGCAGAAATTCCTCCCTGGGAGGGTGGGCAGGCCCTGGCACAGGGTGCCCAGGGAAGCTGTGGCTGCCCCTGGATCCCTGGAAGTGTCTCAGGCCAGGCTGGACGGGGCTTGGAGCAGCCTGGGCTGGTGGAAGGTGTCCCTGCCCAGGGCAGGGGTGGCACTGGGTGAGCTTTAAGGTCCCTCCCAACCCAAACCATTGAGAGATGTTTTGGATGCAGAGACTGTAATCAACATGTCTAGCACAATTCAGCCTTGCTTTTTGAGCACTGCTTTTAAAAAACCCTGTAGAAGTGTGTAGAAGTGTTCTAGTTTTCTTAAGTTAGGAACCAAATACATTGATTATTTGTTTGCTGAACTGTTTTATAAGGTGAGGGCAGACAGTGAGCAGGATTTATCAGAAGACATCATGGTTCTTTCAGAAAATGCTGAAAAAATGGAAGCCACGACACCCAATCTGCCAAACTCTGAAGAAAAAGAGTTACATCCAAGCTTTCATGTGGCTCAGGAAAGCAGGCACCAGGAAATCTGGTCGGTCCTTGAGGGTGTTTGGAACACAATGAACCTGTTCAGGTAAAGCTAAGGGAGCTCAGAATGTCTACAGAACCTTAAATAATTTTCAAACAAGCACACTTAAAAATTGAGCTTTTTTCCTCCACTATTTTAGAAAAAACCCTATTGATAATTAATCAAAATCAACCCCAAAAAACCTGCAGAAAACGCACACAACCTGTCACACAAAGAAGTTGGGAGCATGCAAATTGTTATGTCCTTCTGCTGCTCTTGTGGGCAGCAACTGAAATAAAATGCCTTTGAAAATGTTGCTGAAAACCCCCCAAATGTGAGACATTCGTGGAAATCTCATATTTATCCGTAAGAAGAGGCATTCAAGCTCCAAGATTTCTTGTGGGTATTTCCTTCCAAATCCAGTGGAGTTGTACAAAAGTCTTTACCTTATTTTTAGCCTTTAGTCAATTTGAAATAGAAAACATTTTCTTGGTAAGTAAAATCCTTCACTGTATAAAATCCAACTGCAGAGTCTAGTGATGAATTTCCTTTCTCATGTAAACTCAGAATTGCAGGAAATCAACCCCTTTTCCATCTGGGTGCTTTACCATTGCTTTCATCGTGGTTATTTTGGGAAAATCTGCTGGAAACTCGTTGGGATGCCATATTTTTGGATACAGTCTGGATTTGTTGCCTTTTCCAGGGAGGGCCTTTGAGTCAGCCCAGCCCAAAGAACTCCATTTCTGGAGGTCTGTTAAGGACTCACCTCATCAGCAGTGGTCACTCCATGTCTGCACTGCACATTTCTTCTGAGACTGTTGTAGACAACATGGGTTTAATATAAATTTATATTTGACCTAGTTTTGTAATAGACAAAATACAATGCACACAACAGATACTGAGTTTCTCTGAACTCTGAGGCTTCTTATTAACTGCTTTCCTCTGTCTCTTCTGTGTTTCTTTTTCATTTCAGTATTGAAATATTCCAGAAGTTGGACCCCAGTGCAGTGACTATGGCTGCAAAGTCTTCGTTTGAGGAAGCTTTTTTAGGCCTGCAAAAGCTGTTGGCAGCAGTGAAGGATATCCAGGAAGGAATTAGTAGGTGAGCATTTCAACTGGGGCAGAAAAGTGAGTAACAGTCACCTGAAGTCCTAAAAGTCACTGAAATATTTCAATACCAAACCACACTTGAGTTCTGTGTGCTTGGTTATGTGATTCCCAGTAGAAATCTTGTGTCAAGGCTGCACAGAACCATTTCTTGGTAGCAAAAGAACATGAAACTGTTGCAGACATTGAGATCTCTTGCAGTGAATTTTCTCTTCCATGGGAAGAGAGTCCTGGGGTTTGCTTTTTCCATGTTTGATGCTGAGCGAGTTCTGCTCAGTGTAACTGGAGCTGGGACATGACTAATCCATCAGCTCTCATGAGAGCAACTTTGAATAATTCAGAGTCATTGGCTTTCCAAATGCAAGGCCCCACGGAACGGGGGCAAATCTCCCGTGGAGTGAAGGACACAAAGTTTTGGGGCTTTGCTGTTCCCAATTCCGGAGTGTTCTTAAGGAGTCAAAACCCATGCCACAAGGATCAGCCCTAACAAGGAGCAGCAGCTGCACTCTCCCTTTAGGAAGGATCATATTCCCTCTGCCTTCATGGGATCACACAATTCCAGGATGGTTTGAGCAGGAAGGGACCTTAAAGCCCACCCAGTGCCACCCCTGCCCTGGGCAGGGACACCTCCCACCAGCCCAGGCTGCTCCAAGCCCCCGTCCAGCCTGGCCTGGGACACTTCCAGGGATCCAGGGGCAGCCACAGCTTCCCTGGGCACCCTGTGCCAGGGCCTGCCCACCCTCCCAGGGCACAATTGCTTCGCAATGTCCCATCTAAAACTACTCTGTCAGTGGGAGGCCATTCCTCCCCCCTTTTTCAAAGAGTGCAGGACAATAAAATGGAAGTTTCGGGAGGAATAATGAATTGCCCGGATAGTCTTGACTTAATCCTTTTTTTTTACAGCAGTGCATATAAATCCATTCAAAGAATTGTCTCTCAAAGATAAATGATCTAAATATTATGAAAGTAGAAACAGAAAATATGGGTAGAAATGGGAGATGGAGCAACTTTATACTAACAGGTTCATTTTATTGCTGGTGGGTTTGTTTCTCTAAGAAAATTGTTTTAATTCAGCATGTTACTGCTAAACTTGGCCTTTTTCGTTCCAATCCCAAAGTTTTGCAAGAAATCCTGTGGTATCAGTTTACAGCCGTGGTGGATGAGATTTAATGGGATTATGGTGTTTCATTACAAAATGTTCCACTTCAGTGACAGCTCCTCACCTCCCACAGTTCCCTCATGGGAGAGCTGTGTGAAAATAAAACCTGACACACAGGACGATGCTTGGAATGGACAGTGTTCTGGAGGCTTCCTTGGGAAGTGCCTGCCCTGCTGGGCAGCTCTGCAGTAGGTGGCATTGTGGAGCAAGGAACGGGGACAGTGCAGGAGGGGCTGTGGTGGAGTGGGGAGGAGTGCAGGGAATTAAGGTCCTTGGAGACTTCTGAGTGGGTCTTCAAAGAGTCAGAAACCAGATTTGTGAGTCACTGCAGGTTTATACAGGAATTAAGGCAAAACATGGGAAGTTTTCATAGAATCCCAGAGTGGTTTGGGTGGAAAGGGACCTTAAAGCTCCTCTCGTCCCACCCCCTGCCCTGGGCAGGGACACCTTCCACTGCAAAGTGAGAACCTTCCCACTTCTATTTTGCTCTAAAACTGACCTTGGAGTGTAGTTATTGTCCTTGATTTCTGAAAAAATGCCTTTCAGTGACTTACAGTTAAATTACATGATTGCAGGAAAAGTAGTGAAAAGGCTCTAGGTTGAATATTTGGAGCTTTTAGTGCTAAAATGCAAATGGATTCTGTGTTCCCTTCAGGTCCTTGCTGCCCAGAGCAAAGAGAGGAAAACACCTTGTGAAAGTGTGGAAGTCCCACAAATTATACTGAAAGTTCAGCTGCATTAAAAGTTTCGATTTTCAGATTGTCCAAAGCAATGAGAAAAGCAGATGACACGTGTTGAGATAAATGTGTAGGAGATGCCCTCAGTCATAAAACAAAGACTGCACGAGTGGCACTGCTGCAGCTGGTCAGGCCTGGTGACCAGGACGTGTTAATGACAAATACAGATATTAGAAAGAAAAAAAAACAAACACCAAACAAAAAAGGCTGTTTGGTGGAAGATCAAATGAACAGCTTTTTGCATCTTACCCTTTTCTTGTAACTTGGGGATTTTAATTTTATCTTGGCTTCTTCCTCTGGCAGCACTGGGAGTAGAATGGGGTTTAAATTGCAGAATTCTGCGTGTCAGAAATGTCTGACAGTACTTCAGCTCTAAAACTGAGACAATAATTGCTATGGTTAGCAACTATATGTCATTACTAATCATGAAGAAAGGTTATTAAACTTCTGAAATTTAAGTCAGGTAAAATTGTGAGACCGTGACACGTTTTTAAATAGCATTTCTGAGTGTTTGTATTTGTGTTTGAGTAGGGTATTATTTGGAACCAGTTAATTAAGGGACCTAATTTAAGGCCTCTTAAATCTTTAAAATAGTTGACATTTTCCCTTGGCTGATTAGATCTGATTCCAAGGTTTAGGGAGAAATTTTACATGCCTTCATGTTTCCTGCCATGTTCCTTTGAGATAAGAAATCCTTGTTCTTTGAAAAGAAAAAATTCAGTCCTTGTGAATTGATAGTGTTATTTCTAGTTGGATTTTTTTTTTCATCTGTTGGCTAAGAAATAATTGTTTTGTTCCTGTGCCAACTTTAAAACCCCTCACAACTTACAGCACGTCCTCTTAGGTACAACCCTCAGAAATGTTTATACTAATACAGTATCAGCTGTAAAAATATCTGCCCTGCTCGCTGCAGTAAGGAACCTGAATTCTGCCTTCTAGTATTTTATCTAAATGGGATTTCTCTCCTACTCCCAGTGACTTGGAAAACACTGGTTTAGACCAGGGCTCCATAAATCAGAAGTGTAATTTTTTAAGATCTCAGCAGTGCAGGGGGGGATGTTCCTGTGTCAGGAGTGATCACTGAATGCTGGGATTAAATACTTAAAACTGGTTCTGCACTTTAATTTCTACAGTTCTACAGATGTAGAGAAACTGTTTGATCAAAGGAGCTGAGATTGCTTTCTCTTGGTGTCCCGTGAGAGAATCGTCGTCCTTCCCTCAGGCTGCCAGGGCGGGGAAAGAAAGAAAGTCAAGCAGAGCTGGGAGCTGGAACTGGGAGCTGGGAGCTGGAACTGGGAACTGGGAGCTGGAACTGGGAGCTGGGAGCTGGAACTGGGAGCTGGGAGCTGGAACTGGGAACTGGGAGCTGGGAGCTGGAACAGGGAGCTGGGAGCTGGAACTGGGAGCTGGGAGCTGGAACTGGGAGCTGGGAGCTGGAACAGGAGCTGGGAGCTGGAACTGGGAACTGGGAGCTGGAGCTGGGAGCTGGAACTGGGAGCTGGGAGCTGGAACTGGGAGCTGGGAGCTGGAACAGGGAGCTGGGAGCTGGAACAGGGAGCTGGGAGCTGGAACAGGGAGCTGGGAGCTGGAACAGGGAGCTGGGAGCTGGAACTGGGAGCTGGGAGCTGGAACTGGGAGCTGGGAGCAGGGCAGAGGGGATGCTGTGGCAGCTGCTTAGCTGTGTTGCCTTTGGAGCAGCCTAAAAAGCAGGAAGGTTGAACTGAAAGGGTGTTGTGAAAGCCACCTTTGTGAGCTTGGAAAGCCCTGCGTGGACACAGGGGCAGCTGAGGCACTTCACAGTAGGAGAAAGCTTGGCCCTGCTGTGGGAAAAATCCCTGAATTTCCCAACAGGTTCCCCCTTCTATTTTCTGATCCTTTCCAAAGAGATTTGTTCCCAAATCTATTGGCACAAGTGAGGAGTCACATCCTGAACTATTTCCTGTCCATCTCTTACAATACCTTACACTTTGTGCATGAGCTTGGCATCAGGTGGGTGACAGGACAGGAGGGACCAAACACCTGGAGTGGTTTGGGAAGCTCTGGCTGACGAGATAACATCATTAAGTGTGACTCCCTTGTCGTTTCTGGTCCCAGAACAACATTTGACCTCCATTTTGGAGCAGGTATCCGTGTAAAATCACAATGAAATAAGCACTGAACTCCTCAATTGCAATAAATCCTGTGCTGTGTCATGGTCTTCCAACCTGCTTTAAGTATAGTGTCTTTTAACTGGATTTTCAACTTACTCCCTTAATTTTTCCAGTTTTTCAGTTCCCAGTTAATTCACTTATAAAGGCTTACAGCTTGCAAGGGGAGGGAGGGGAGAATTTGGGCACTTTCCCATGGGAAAGTAAATAGAACTTCTCAAAAAATTGTGAGTTTTTTCCAAACTTGGTCATTGTAATGATTATTTACCTTAGAATTTTGTCAGTATTTCTTAATATATATAAAGTGTTCCGTGTGTTTTCGTGTGGATTTTGAGGTAAATTTTGCAGCATTTAGGAGGGTTGTGCTTTTCCTGGGAAATGCAAATGGAGTTCCACTGGGGTGGAACTGAATTGTAGCTGCTGAAGTAGATGAGGATAATTAATTTGGGGAGAAAATCCACTTCCTTATTGGATCAGATTTGGGAAGGGGTGTCCCTCGAGGCTTTTTGTAAAGCCACATCCCTGCAGCTGCCACATCCCATCGTCCCTGGGCAATACTGGGTGGGAATTATTATTGGAAGTAGAAAAAAAGGGAAGGGAATGGGAGCTTGGAGGGAAGGAGTTAAAGCTGGAGCTGCTGTGGGAAAGCTGGGTGTCGTGTGTGGCTCCACATGAATCCAGCAGGACTTTGCTGATGGGCAACAAAAGGCTTCTAATTATTGCTGGGTTTCTTCCCTCCTCGGGGAAGAATCCATAAAAACATGGCTTGCATTTTTAATGAGGGAAAGCCTCTGGAGAAAGTCCTCACAGAAATAATGAGCTCTCTAATTCTTTTAGAGGAGGGAAAGGAAAAATTCTTTAAAGTTCGTAATTTCCTTTTTGTTTAAAAAAAAAATTTTTTTTTCCCCATTGAAGCATTTCTGACTACTTTTTTAACCCTTTCACAGAAGCCTTTTACACTTGCTTTAAAAAAAACCCCAAACTTTTCTCTTTCAGAATTTTGAGCCCAACCAGCAGTTTCCAAGATATTTGGACCCTCTATAACTTCCTCATAAGGCACGAGGTAGGAGTTTTTTTGGAGTGTTCAGTCACTTCACTCACACTTTTTATTTCCAGGAGCTCTGAGGTTGTGTCTCATCTCTCTGTTTCCACTTCTGTTTTGTTTCTTTGCCCTTATTTATGAGATGTTGAAACATAAAGATACATTTTTGGTTGGCACTTGCCAAATGTACTCAGATTTCTACCGGTTCTTTGTGTGACCTTCTGAGCATTTGTTTGGTGGGAACGAGTCTCTGTTGGAGTGAAAAGCCTTGAAAGGAATGTCTGCAGTAGAACATTTTTCTGTTCAGTGTATTACATATTTCAGAGGCTTTCAGTGCTGTCCTGTTCAGGAAAATAGATCTGGGGTTGGGGCCTGTGCATCTGCTTTTGGAATTGATGTGGTGTATCTTCATTTGAGAGGGGGGTGTAGATACACACGTGTGTATGTAACTACTGGGTAAATTAAGGAAGGGGATATAGAAGGTCTTTTCAGATTTGTGCAGAAATGGTTAGAAAATGAAGCTGCAGTTTGTAATATTTGATTTTATAGCACACAGGATGGCTTCTTTAATGTACTGTCTCAGCCTGAGAGCTGTGAGGTGATACATGCCCTGTATGTTATACCAGTGTACATATATACACATACATACCTATTGGATACGTGATACCTGATAAACTGCTATATTCATTCGCTGTTTTAGGTGAATAACAGTCTGAAATTCACTGCTGAGGAGCTTTATGGGTGTGTTTCCCAGGAGCTGTATAGGTAAGGCAGTGTCTGAGCACACAGGGGAGGGTGGAGGCAGCATTTTAACATGGATTAGCATGGATTGAACATGCATCTTAACATGGATCAACCAGGGTCCCCTGAGAGAAATCACTTGGGTAAATACAAAACCCCCTTTGCAGGAGGGGCAGGGGGAAAATGAGTGGGGATTGATTTTATTTCCTGAGCAGGGAGGAGCAGTAGAGACACCACAATCCCCATTCCCATCTCCCTACCCCACTGGGAGGGGAGGGAATGGGGAGCAGGGAATCGGGTGAAGTTGGGCCCAGGAGGAAGGGAGCAGTTTGGGGATTTGGGTTGATTTCTCTCTCTCCTGCTGTGATGTTGGGAATTCATTAAGGTGACTCTCCTGAGTCACGGTGGTGGCTGCTGAGTCTGCCCCGTCCTGCTCCTGACCCAGCAGCCTTTTGTTACATTCCCCTCCCCTGTCCAGCTGAGGAAGGTGGTGACAGTGGCTGTGGTGGGCACTGGGGTCAGCCCACCACATGGATGGATTAAAAGGAGTTGATCCAAGTGATAAAAGCAGTTCTGGCTGTTGGCTCTAGACCTGCATCAACACAGGCAGAAAGAAAAGAATGTGTGGAAATTTGTGCTCAGCGGAGTAGAAAAAAAACCACTTAGGAGACCGGTCTGGCTCAGGCTGCACTTGGGGAATTCAGGGATGGGGTTTTTCCTCTTTCTCTGAGGAGTAGCTTTTCAATGATATTTTGAGAAATAATCTCTTGGAAACCAAAGTTATGGAATGTTTACAAGTGATCAGGTTTGGATCCTCTTCTGAGGGAAAGGTATAAAAGGGTGTAGGCAAGAGAATCGTTCTGGGTATAAATACAGTGTATGCAAGTAGGAAAGATGGTTTGAATGGAACCTTCCAGAATCCCCAGTGTGTCCAGAAAGCTGGGGGATGTGACTGATTCTTCCACCTTCACCTGACTCAGGGAAAGGGAGCCTGCTGCAGCTGGGGGGTGGCTGTTCTAAGGAATTCATGTGAAAGTCACTGCTGCTCATTGAGCTTTATGGAGATTTCCTTCTTGAAAACCTTTCTTTTCAAAGAATATTTGGAAAGATTCCAGTCTGTGCAATGGGTCCACTGTGTCCTAACTGTTGTCTCTTCCCTAGGGAAAGGTTGGAAGTTGGTTGCTGCCAGCTGGCACAGCTGGAGCAGACCCTGGAGCAGTGCCGGGTGTCGGTGCACAGGGAGGCCGAGAGCAGGGGCTGGCTGTGACTCTCCTGGGCTGTGACACCCCCAGGCTGTGACACCCCCGGGCTGTGACACCCCCGGGCTGGGACCCTCCTGGGCTGGGACCCTCCTGGGCTGTGACACCCCCAGGCTGTGACACCCCCAGGCTGTGACACCCCCGGGCTGTGACACCCCCGGGCTGGGACCCTGCTGGGCTGGGACCCTCCTGGGCTGTGACCCTCCTGGGTTGTGACACCCCCGGGCTGGGACCCTCCTGGGCTGGGACCCTCCTGGGCTGTGACACCCCTGGGCTGGGACCCTCCTGGGTTGTGACACCCCTGGGCTGGGACCCTCCTGGGCTGGGACCCTCCTGGGCTGTGACACCCCCGGGCTGGGACCCTCCCGGGTTGTGACACCCCTGGGCTGGGACCCTCCTGGGCTGGGACCCTGCTGGGCTGGGACCTGGGGCTGGGGGGCTCAGCCCTGCCTTGGCCTCGCCCAGGTGAACTCTGACTCCCCAGGGGAGGGGAGGGAAGCACTGGAGGAGCCAAAACAGCTGCCTTCTGTTGTCAACGGTGCTGGTTTGCGTTGAGCTGAAGGACAAAACCCTGGTTACCTGTGGACATTAAATGTCGAATTTCTGCTGCAAACCACCCGCCAGTAGAATGCTCTGTCTCGAGGGAGGATACCCATGGATACCCAGGAAAATCACGGCTGGGCTGGGATGCAGAGGGGGGCTGGGCGGCTCTGAGTGCTGCCCCTGGGCCTATAGGAAAACCCTGGTGTTTGTTTTGCTGGTACTTTGGAAGTGACAGGTGAGATAACTGAGTCTGTCGTGTCCCACGGGGGGCTCTGGAGGATGGAAAGGGGCCGAGGACAAGGCTGGGAATGAAGGACTGAGGAGGGGCAATGGGGACAGATGGATGCTCATTGTTTTTAAAAACAAAGCAGACCCCCCTCACCCCCTCCTGCAGGTGTGTTTGTCCTGGACCCCTTTTCAGAGGAAAGGGATGTTTTTCCTTTGTTAAAATGCCTGCTGAATCTTCATACAGTGGAAACCTGCTGGCAGTGCTCTTTGGGAAATTCATCATCCTTCTCTTGCCACCTCCTCCTGCCAGGGTGGGGCTGGTCGTCCCTGCCCTGCAGGTGACACCTCACTGCGCTGCTGGTTGCCCTCCAGAACTGCTTACAGCCCATGAAACTTTCCAAGAGCCATTTTCCAAGGCCTTTCTAACGCTACCTCTTTGTGTGTATTCGTACTGAGACAAGAGATGACTTGCAAAGTTCTAAAGGGTCTATTTTGATATTAACTTTTGGCTGTATTTGTAAAACCTTGACTGTACAGATGTAATTTATTGTTACATTAAACGGTGGTTGATTGTTGAGTGGCTCTGCCTTGGAAGCAGGGAAATCTCCCAGTCCCACTCGAGGGGTGTTGCTCAGCCCTGAGCCCCCCTGCACCCATCCAGAGGGGCTTGTTTAGTATCCCACGGTTGTGTTTGCAAAGAAAAGGACACACAGAGAGCTCAGGGCACGCCTGTGGTGCGAGGGTTTCCCAAAAGGTACCTTTAATGTGTTTGCAGCAGCAGCAAGCAGTCAGTGCTAGTTTGGCACCCAGAGTTAGATGTGCAGCACTACACATTAGACACCGAGTCATCCCAACCCAACAGCTGATCCAGAGGAATAGAGAGAGTGAACTAAAACAGGACTATGAGCACGTAGGAAATCAAGTTATTCGTGTTCTATTACACTTCCAGCTTGGAATATTAGAAAAATAAACTTAAGACAGTTACTACAACACATTTTCATTGCCAGCTGGCAAGAGTTTAAAACCCCCGAGAACCCCCCTCCCCGAGTTGTGGTACAAAGATCAGCTCCCCCAGAGTAACAAATGGCTGTACAGAAAGCGCTCTGCATCCTCAAAACACCTGGAGCCAAAGGAGTTCTCCCCCCAGGAAGTCTCAGCTGTGGTGTCTCAGAAAGCCTGTGCAGCTCAAAGGAAGGTGGTGCAGACTAACTTACACTACGGCAGCAGAGGCAAAGCTCCCACACGGGGTGAGTCCACTGTCCTGCTCAGTCTCTGTGAACTCCAAGGTTGTCTCTTTGTTCCAGTAACCACTGACTGCCATGTGCACTTCAACAGACAGAATACTCTGCTGAGTATATAAAAACTGTTATAAAAAGGCAATTGTAAAAGATAAGGTATTAGCAGAGGCATGTCAGCTTTTTTTTAATAAAAAAAATAGCCATTATATCTATTTAAATAAGGCTTCTTGTTACAGATTGTTCCAGTTACTGAAGGAAACCAAGGCCTGATGAGAAAGAAAAAACAGCTATCCCCCACAAACCTTACCCTTCCTGCCCCGAGAACACACCTCCAGGAAGCCATTTCATGTGCAAAGTGACAGAACAAACACTGGGGTAAGCTCCTGAAATGATATGCCCAGTCTAGTTGCTCCTGCTTTATCTTCAAAATCTTTAAAACAAAACCAAAACAAAAGTTCTAAAATACACAAAAACCCCCTTCATCTCAATATTCCTTCCAAAACAAAATATGTACAGCACATTAATATGCAATATGCAAAAGCTCTGCGTTGCTGTTGGCAACGTCTATGCCCTCCCCACCCCTATTCACAGGTGTACCTCTACTGACACGCAATTACATCACTAAGCCTGTTAGTTTGAAAAGGGGATTTAATTCACTCAGAACTTGTAGATCTTCGTGTAGGGGCTCCACTCGTTGGACTCGGGGTTGTAGACTTCGAGCGTGTTGAGGAAGTCGTTGCCGTCGAAGCCCCCCACGGCGTAGATGGTGTTGCCCACGGTGGTGATGCCGGCGTTGCTGCGGGCCGTGGTCATGCTGCCCATCATCCTCCACTCGTTGCGGGCGGGGTCGTACATCTCCACGCAGTTCACGGCGTGCGTGCCGTCAAAGCCGCCGCCCACGAACAGCTTGCCTGGCAAAGGAAGGGCAGGGGTGGGCGCTGTGTCCCAGCAGGGCAGGGGTGGGCGCTGTGTCCCAGCCTCCTCCTGGGAACGCGGCCCAGAGGGGGAACCGTGGGGGGCTGGCAGAGGCCTCAGTCAAGGCTCCACCGGCTTTGGTCCCGAGCGTGGCAGCTGAGGGCGGGTTGGGTCAGAGCAAGGGCCAAGTCCCAGCGCAAACAAACGGGTGCAGCTCTGAAGCGCTTTGGGAAGAGCGGGCAGGGGGTGAATGCCCCAAAACTCTGATTACTTTTCCTTATCCAAACAAGGTTTGGCCAGGTTCTTACTGAACCGTGTCCTCCCCGAGAAGGAACACAGCTTTGTATTCTGCTCACATCGCAGCCTAACAGGCGACATTCAGCAAGCCCCAGAGGCTGCTCAGGCCCTGCAGCAGCAGCCCCTACAAGAGAGCCCCCCTCAGAGACAGCCCCCTCCCAGAGAGCCCCGGCAGCTCCGCACCTTCCCGCACGGCCACGCCGGCGCCGCGCCGCGCCACGTTCATGGGCGCTATCAGGGTCCAGGTGTTGTTCTCGGGGTTGTACCGCTCCACGCTGTTGAGGCAGTTCCACGACTCGGCGCCCCCGATGATGTACAGGAACCCCCCCAGCTCACACACGGCCGACTGGTGTCTCCCTGCAACCAAACACCAGCACGGCCATGCACCGACATCCCACAGCAGCGCAAAGGAAAGCTTTGGGCTGGGATTTGCTTTGGGGCACTTCTGTGGTCGCCCTTTTCTCCCCCTCCCTCCTGACTACACAGTAAACTTACGGATGTTCAGGGGAGCGCAGCTCGTCCAGGACTTTGTTACAGGATCAAACACCTCGCAGTTCTTCAGTCCCTTTTGGCCATAAGGATCGGAACCACCCACGATGTACAGCTTTCCATTGAGGGCACACACTCCTGTTTATGAGGGACAGCGTGTAAGGCAAAAGGGAGCGAATGTAAAACACCCCCAGCCCCCTGTGCTGCAGAGGCCTCACCTGCATTGCAGCGGTTGGTCCTCAGCTCTGGGACAGGAGTCCAGTCGTCGATTTCTGGCTCGTACATCTCTCCACAGCTCAGGTTATCTGAGTGGCCGTTGGACCCCCCCACAACGTAGAGCTGCCCCTGAGTGGAACAAACACACCCCCCCTTCAGCACTGGAGCGCCCGTGGAAGCAGAGGAACGCCTCGTGGCGGTCAGCGTGCCCTGTGCGTGCACCCACCATCAGCACTGCCATCTGGAACCGAGCCCTGGGCGTCCTCATGGGCGCGAGGAAGGTCCAGGTGTCGGTCTGCGGGTCGTAGCACTCCACGGTGCGCAGGCACTCCTCCCGGTTGTAGCCACCTGCAAGCAAAGGCTCTTGTGGCACCGCCGCCCCACAGCCCGGGTGCTGCGATGCCGAAGGGCCGCTCAGGGCGGTGAGGATGCCCCAGCCCCCTGCCCGTGCCCTGACCTGCAGCGATGAGTTTGCCGTGGAGCTCGGCCGTGCCCAGCCCTGAGCGCGCGTACTGCATGGGGGACATGGGCTTCTCCACCACGTTGCTGGGCTGCAGCTCAAAGCTCAGGCTCTTCAGCAGCCGGGGGGTGCTCGAGGGGGAGCTCTGCGGGCTGTTCCGGCCGTGCAGGAAGATCACACACAGCACACCGTCCAAAACAGCCAGACACAGGTACGTGTTACCTGGCACCGGGAGAGAAGGAGAGACCACCCAGGTAAGTCAAGTCGTGCGTCACCCAAAGTGAAAGCCAACGAGGCTCTTTTGGTTCTGCTTCTCCCCTTATCTCCTTGGGTTTTTTATTGGTTACTGGTATTCCAAGTGTTAGAAAAAGTGTTAGTTACTGAAAAATATGAGTTTTAGGTACTAAAATAGTACTCTAAGAACGTAAGACAGCAACCTAAGGATGTGCTGGTAGGGTCTCCTCACACACCCAGAGCAGAGAGCTCTGCTGATTAAGTAGGGACTGCCTATCTCCTTAGGATTTTCTGGGTAACTGCTGCACACCACGGCATTTGGGATGGCCCTGTAGACAAGGAATTGAGATGTATGTGATCCCAGTTACATTAGAAACATCCCACCAATTACTTGTAAGGAAAAGCACTTCTGCATTCCTCAGAGATGCTGGAGGAAACCCCTGGGGAGCAGGAGGTGGTGGGTACACGATACCAGACACATCTGTCAGACAAGCCCTGCCCGTTACTCACTCGAAGTCTTCTCTGAAGCAATGATTTTCCACTCGTGTTTAGGACTCTGAACAATAGCATTTGGAGAAAGACTTCCAGAGGAGCTGCTACTGATCTGCTTGTGATCATTCTCACGTGGTGGCTTCTTCTGCAAAATCAAAAGGCAGCTACAGAAACCTAGCCAGACTCACCTCCTGCTACCTCTGCTTCCCTGAGCTACTCCGTCACTGCTCCAGAGAACATCTGAGCGCCACCCCCGCAGAGCGGCGTCCATAGCACACCTCCTGCACAGCATCTACCCAGCAACAGCCAAAAACCACCCTGCACCTTCCTCCTGGGACTCCTCTCATCCTGGGACTGCAGCTCTACACTGCTGCTGGTGGAGCAGGAACCATTTCCAATCCCTGCGAGAGCCTGCCTCGCCGACAGGATTGACAGATGCGGGGGAAGAGCTGCGTGCAGTGGGACACCACCGAGTACCAACGAGAAGCCTCTCTCACAGCTCTGCTCCTGCACCCGGAGTTCATTATATAATGCTGGTTGGAAGTGAATTAACTATTCTCTTCATTCCCTGAAGACAAATTAATTTCGCCTCAGTTCCTCTCTATGCTCAGATTAGCTGTTTCTTGGATTTTACTCCCTTGATACTTCCCAGTAACAGGAGATTTCTGCTTTCTTTTCATCTTCAATTAAATTTATACTGTAGCTTATATTATTTTGCTCCATTAAGAAAACCCTCCAAATTTCCCATTTCAGCACAGTTGGCTGGGGCGGTTCAGGCTTTTTCTGCAGCCCAGAAGTTGCTGTGCTGTCTGTTCTGCTCAGCAGCAGAGTTTGTGACCACACACCCAAGTCTGTGATGCTTGCAGAGTTCCCCGGAGCCTGATCTCCATGGAAACTGTCCCAGGCCTTCTGAAACACATCACCTAGCGCAGATAACCTCTCACAGAGGAGCTGCCTTGCTAAACTCAGCTCCCCGGGAACATCAGCTCATTGCTGGCCAGCGTTTTTGGTCCTGCTGAATCCCCATCCAATTAACCCCTTGTGCTCTTATCTGTGCACTGCCTCGACCCTAACAGAAAATACAAACTGCTGTAATTTAAACACTTCAAAGTTACAGTTTTCTCCAGACTGGCGTTAGATATCTCAGCTCTTTACAATGTCTAAAGTTGGTGATTCTTCTTATCAGAAAGGATTTAGAAAAAAGCTGAGGACTCCCTCCTGGTCTTATTTCTG